CCGCTCATTGGCCGGCCCGGGTCCTCCCAGGAAGTTTGAAAAAAAAAAAAAAAAGTTTTATGGGCGGATGGAAGGGGCCGGGGCAGCACCGGGGAAGGGTAGGGCCGGAGAAGCGGCGACGGGCGGCAGAGAGGGGTGGCGGTGGCGGGAATCCCGCGCCGCTGAGCCCGGCCCGAGAGCCCTTTCTACCTTCCTGCCTCCTGCTCCCGCTGCCCCGGGGCGCCGCCATGACGGTGAGTGCTCCCAGGGGGCAGCCCCTCCTCGCCCCGGGCCGGGGTGAGAGCGACGGCCCGAGCCCAGCCGCTCCCCTCCTGGGCAGCCCCCTCCTCACTTCCCGGAGGGGAGAGAAGGTCTCGGCCGGAAGGCAGGGAGACTCCAGCGGCAGGGCCGGCCGTCCTGCCTCACCTTCGCCCAGCCGCCTCCTTACCTTTCCGGCCCAGGAGCCCGGGCGACCCCGAGGACGTGGGAACGCCCGGTCCCAAGCACCCCCTTCCTCATTTTTGCGCGGCCAGTCACGACTGATACAGAGTGGCTCTCTCCCACCTCCCCTCCTGTCCCCTTGATGAAGACCTGACCTGATTCCTCCAAGCTGTAAGATCCTTAGGGGCTCTCCGGACTCCGGACGGTGGGAGGAGCGGAGATGGACCTGGCCCGAGGCTGGAGAGAGGCGCCCCCTGGCTCAGATGGGTCGTGCTGACCCGAGCCTGGGAGGACCGCCCACCGGTATGGGCGCTGGCCGGAGGTTGGGTGGGTGAGAAGGGTCCGCCGCGTCCCATCCTGTCTGGGAGCTCTTCCCAGGATTTCTGAGATGATACCCTGCGTGATACCCTGTTCTCCCGGGCTTGCCTATTCGCAGCGGCGCTGGGGCTTTGGGTGGAACAAGCCCGGGAGTGGAGGTGGGGGTCACGTTGGCGGGATTTGTCTTTCTCTTGGAGATGAACCCTAGTTCCATCAATAACTGTGCCTTATTTATTGCGCCTCACAGCTGGTTTCACCAATATCCCCATTTCACACTTGGGTAAACTGAGGCTTGGGGAGAGGCTTTGGTGAGTTGCCTGAGGTTACCCTGAATGTAAGAGAAGGAGTAGCCCCTTTCCAGGTCATTCCGGCCCTGTGTAGTTCTGGAAGGGAAGGGCAGGGCTGCTTTTGGTTTCTAGCTAGCGCCTTAGGGAAGCTCTGACAGCTGGTGGGAGAGGGGAGTTGAGCGGAGGGTGTTGTGCATGCGCCTCTCCCCTTTCCTAAAGTGAGTGGTGTGGACTGAGTTGCTAGGGATGGTGGCTGCGGTTGCTGAGAGGGGCCCCTGCCCTGTGAGTGTGATGACCTGGCCACTGCCTGGACTTCCTCAGCCTCCGCACATCCTGCCACCTCCCTGCTGGCCCTTCCTGTCCTCAGCAGCTTCCCCTACCCCATCAGAGAGCAGAGAGGGATGCGGGGGGAGGAGCTGAGCCAGTGTCCTGTTCCCCCCACCCCAGGGTACCTGCCAGGCCCTGAACAAGGTGCTTTCACTTGATCAGAGTTGATTCTCTGAGGTGGGTGGCAACTCCCCATCCAACAGGTGAGGACACAGATGTAGAGAGGTGAAGTAACATGCACCAGGTGACACAGCTGGGCCCTGCTGAGCCAGAATTGGTATCCGGGGTTGTCCCAGTTTTCTCTGTGGGGCGAGATAAGAAGTGTACGCAGTTTCCTCTCCTGGAGAAGCACTTGCTCAGCAAGGGTGAGGCTGCTGGGGGCAGCATGTGGGGTGCTAGAAGGAGGGACAGCACAGCCCTGCTGGTGGGAGAAGCTTTCCTGTGATTATAGGACTTTGTCAGGTGGAAGTGGACTTAGGGTGGGAACAGTGTGAACAAAGGCTGGTGGTCACATCTGAGGAATGGCAAAAACATAGAAGAAGGTCTTGGAGAAAAGGGGCCCAGTCAAAGGCCAGGAAAAGCAACTTGGTCTTTGGTCAGGGCCTTGGGGAGCCGTGAAGGGTTTTGGAGCAGAGAGGAAGCTGATGATCACCACTGACAGTGTTTGCTGGTTTCAGCCTAGCTGCCTGCAGATCTGAGCCTGTTCCAGGATGGTCTCCCTCCTATACCTTCCTCACACCCTTCCTCTTTCTCCCGCCCATCTCCCTACCTAAGGGATCTGTATAGATCAATTGGCAAAGGTGCTGTGAATGGGTAAATGCGTAGAGGCTTTGGGAAGCCGGGCGTAGAGTCGGGATCCACTCCACCTCCTGCCTGAGCCCAGGGCAGCCTTATTCCAGAGCTTCGTTCCCCAACCACTGCCTGGCATCAAATTATATACCCGTTCGCTTGTTTACTGTCTGTCCCTCTCCTGACTTCCACCAGGACAGGATCCACATCTCTTGTTCACAGCTGACTTCCTGGTCTAGAACAGTGCCTGATGCTTAAAAAAAAGAAAAGAAAAAAGACTCCATAAACATTCTCTGAGCCCCTGGGTCCTGGGGCAGTGGGGTGAACGGTGCATATTCCTGCCTGTGAGTTGCTTCTAGTAAAGCCTACGAGGGACATGTAAATGGCTTCAAGATAATCATGGGTACAACAGAGGCCTCTCTGAGGGACCGTGGGAGGTATGGTGTGTACTGGGACACTGGTCTCAGAGGAGGCAGTTAAGCTGGGTCTTATGCATGAGTAAAGGTTTTGACTGGTGTTCAGGAAGAGGATACAGGCATTTGTGGAAGACCTGGAGTCCTGATGTGTTGGGGATCAGAGAGGATGTATGGTGACATAAACCCAGGGACCCCAAAGCAGGGGAGAGGCTAAGCCAGAAGGGTGGGCTGAAGCTTTTGTGCTATCCTAAGGCAGCTGGACCTTGCTTTGAAGCCACCTGGAGTCATTTCTGGGGGTTTTAAGCAGACTTGTGACACAGCCTTTCTGAGTGAGTCCCCCTGCCAGCGTGTGCTTAGAGGAGGCCCTTTCGAAGGTCCAGGTGGGCTGGAGGGAGTGCAGACCTGTGGCCACAGGAAGGAGGGTGGGCTGTGGGAGCCTGTCAGAGCTTCTGAAGGGAGAAAGGAAAAAGTAAGCTTCCTGCAGGTGGAGGAAAGGCGGCTGGGGCCCGAGGAGGTGTGTGCGAAGGTGCTTCGTGAGAGACTTAGGTTGTCAGAACTTCGACCCGTGGAGGGGGTTCCTCCTCTGCCAGCAGTTTAAAAGCACGTTGGCGGCCTCCTCTCCCCAAGGTCACCACCATGCCATCCTGTGCCTGATGCGTGTGACGTGTTTGTACCAACTTCCAGAGGATCTCTGAGCTTTTCCATGGGCGGCACATTCAGTCCTCTTAAAACTTGAGAGAGGGCCCTCCCGGGCCCTCCCATCCTTTACCACGTTAGGCAGCTAGGCCCAGGGAAGGGATGTGACTTAGGTTACTGTGACTCCATTTCCCAGATAGCCCCCCGCCCATGGGGTCTCAGTCAGTCTGTCATTCCTTCTGGGGAGCCCTTCCTCAGCCTCTGGAAGCCAGTGGCTGATCTCCCAGCCCTGGCCCAGTCCCATTGGCTGGGTCATTGTCTCCTTCCCAGGGGCGCTCCATGAGCCATCCAGAAAGCTGCAGCTTCCTCAGGACCAGGGGTTGGGGGTGGGGACTGTCTCCAAAGCACAGAAAAGTTAGACAGGAGGTAGAGGAAGGTGGATATTCCCAGGTTTTCCCAGGGGTCTGGCCACAGAAGGTCCCACTCTGAATGCAGGTGGACCCAGGCAACTTGGTGGTCCTGAGCAGGGCTCCCAGTCTTCAGTCTTAGCTTGGGACTGTCCTGGACAGCTTCTTGCACCCAGGGGGAACGGGGCAGGGAAGAATGGAGAACGGATAGGGAGAACACCACCCCAGGGTTTCCCAGGTCTGAGCAGAGTCCGTGTCCCTTCCCTCAGACAGGTGTGCTGGGAGGAGCTGCACCACAGGGGCGGGGCTGCTGGCCTGCTGAGACCCAGGGGCCCTGGTCCCACAGCTGTGGCTGTGGATGGCTCTGGATGTCCAGGCTGTTGGCCTAAGCTTCTCTCAGGTCACTTACTCCACCCGAGGAAGAGGAGAATGGGGTTCCCTGGGAGGAAGGCGGGTCAGGGGAGGTGGCCAGGTCAGGTGGCTCTGGTTTCCAGGTTTCCAGCTGCCGTTCTCACCGCCCACCCCACTGAGCCATGCCACCCGCTCCCTCCATGTAACCAGACACCTTGACCTGGTGAGGCTGCGATGCGGGCGCTGATAGGTGGGCTCAGAGCCATGGCAACAGGTGGATGCCTCCTCCCTGCCCACCAGCCTGGCCCGCCCTGCTCTCCTCCCTGCTGGTGGGCAGGAGCTGAGACTCTGCAGAGGGACAGGGACTTAGACGAGAGAGCGAGATCTCCCCAATGGGCAGGGAGAGTCTGATAACTGCTGCCCACCAGATGGACCTGGCCAGAGGAAATGCTGGATGAGGAGCTTCATCATCTAGCCCTAGGTGGGAGTACATAGCTCATAGACCCCCGTGGAACATGCTACAGCTGGGAGCCTCCAGACCCCGGGGCCGTGCCCCCCTGGGTAGCACCCAGCAGGCAGGACTTGTTAGGACTGGCCCTTTGAGAGATTTAGAGGGGACCAGATGATCTTGGACCCAGCCTCTGCCTGGCTCCATCTTTCAGGGTCTCTAGGAGATGAAGGAAGGGCAGAGCTGGTTGGACTACAGGAATGTCAGTGGGTTGGGGTGGGTTGGGGGTGGTTGGGAGCAGTAAGGCATTTTCTGGTGGACCGCCTGGCCTTGTCACTGAGAGGAACTGCATGGTTTGCTCATCTGCTAGTCTGGTCTGTTGTCTGAGCTCTCTAAGGGTCTCTTTACAGGTATTCTCTTCAGTCCTCGCCTCTCCCGTTCTTGGGTGAGGAAGTAGGCTGGTGGGAGGGGAGCTTGGACTTCTCTGGTGGACGCGCCAATCACTTGGCCCACCCTCTCAGCCTTCAGAGACTGCCTGATATTGGGGAAAGGGGCCGAGGCTACTTCAGTGGCTGGGGACCCTTCCTGGATTTGGGGGGTTACCTGGGCCCTCAGCTCTCTCTCCTGGCTTCCTAGGCCCCCAGTCTTATCAGACTCGGCCAGGATAGGCACAGCACCCCCTTCTCCCCAGCCCCCTTGGGTTCTCCATTGGGTCTCACTCATCTGCCTCCACATCTCCCCATAGCCCGATCTGCTCAACTTCAAGAAGGGATGGATGTCGATCTTGGACGAGCCTGGAGAGGTAGGAAGGCTGAAGTGGAGGGGACAGGGGTGGCTTGCTGCAGGGCCCCGTAGCATCCTTGGGGACAGCCCAGGAGGCTGAGCTGCTTCTCTGGTCTCTGGGTGGAGGGGGCCCAGGGTGTGGGTCAGAGTGGGGACCTTGAGGGCAGAGTGTTCTTCATTCAGTCAGAAAGAGGGCCTTGGGCTGTGGGGGTGGAAAGGCAGAGGCCTCCCGGAGCAATCTGCAGTATGTAAGAGTCACCAAGGAGGGGGGCCTCCTAGTCCCTCAGGCCCTGTACCCCATTCTCTCTTCTCACCAAGAGCCCTTGGTCCTCCCACCCCTTGATGACTCTTCTGGGTGTCCATGGGTCTGCATTCGATTGAGACACGAACAGATTCCCAATAACTCAGTCATGCAGCAGCCCCTGACCCTGGGAATGGGGCTCAGACCACACTTCTCAAAGTCTCATCAACCTTAACCCGAGGCCCATTGGTTGAGTCACAGCTTCCTCTGACCTCAGTGGCCACATCTGTGAAATTGGCATTTCACAGGGTGGATAACTGAATCTTGGAGCTCAACTGTGCGAAGGGTCCCACATAGCCCCCAGGGCCTCAGTAATAACCCTTCCTTTTCTCTAATATGTCCATCCCTAGAACCAGAAGGGACAGTGGCCTTTTACTGTCTCTGCCCTTTCGGCTGCCAGGCTGGAGCTGGCTTCCTGCCCACCTAGCCTGGGAGGGGACGTCTCCCGCCCCTGTCCTGCATGCGCTCGCAGCTTGGGTCTGCATGCAGCCCGCATGCCGGGAGGGCTTGGAGCCAAAGGGAATCACATTGTTTATCCGACCCACGTGCTTTATTCCCTCCAGCCCACAGCTTTCCGTACCCGCTGCCTACTCACTGGTCCACTGGTGGCTGCGCTCCAGCGCACAGAAGGCCTGGCACCCTGCCAGTGACCCGTCCTGGCCTCCCCACCCAGGGTCTGTGGAGGGCAGAGAATATGGGCCCCACCCAGAACTGGCCTTACTCATTCTCTTTCACAGGGTTTGGAATGTCCAAGCTGGAAGGGCCCTGGGAATTTGGCCAGCTCAGCCCTTGGTGCACAGACAGGAAACAGGCCCACAAGGGCTTCCACCTCTTCCAAGCCTAGCACCACCTTGGGCAGACCCAGACCTAGAACTCAAGGCGCCTGAGGCCCACAGAGCTCCGTCTAGCTCCCATCTCAGATGGTCGTAGACTACGTCTGGAAGGGCCAAAGAGATCATTTGGCACAGAACCCCTGTCCCGCTTTACAGAGGGACAATTGAGGTCCTGAGCAGCAATTCAGGCCACTCAGTAAGGGCAAGGTAGTTGTGAGAGGGCCAGCCTTTTAGAACAGTTCCCAACAATATAGCACCTGACCCTTTGCCAAGTGCCACAAGAGACATACAGGGAGAGCCAGGAACTTCTAACCTTACAAGAAGGATTAGGGACTTCTTTACAAGTCAGAAGACTGAAGCTCAGAGAGGTCGAGATACTTAATTAAAAAGATACACAGCTAGCAAGAGATAAAATAGTTATAACCTGGATCTCTTGGATGCTGAAACCCTGTTTCATGGGGAGGCAGTGTGGCAAGTAGAAAGTGTCATCCTGGCACATCCTCGAAAACTTACCATCTTAAGGAAAAAAAACTAAGTATTTGAAATAATAGTTGATAGAGCTTGGTGATATGTGGGATCCCCAAGAGATGCCGGGGACTGGGTGACATGCACTGATCTGGCAGTGGGTAGGCCTTGACTGGCATTCCAGTGCATGGCCAGAGCCAGAGGAGGGCTGAGCTTGGCACATATCATATCAAGTTGTTCTGGTGCCCCCACCTCTTTCCAGGGTTAAGTTGGCAGGAGCCGAGGGAAGCAGTACAGAAAGGGCCTCGAATAGTAAATGTACAGATAATGCCTCTCAAGCTGGGCACGCACGTAACCAGCACCCAAATCGAGAAGCAGAATACGACCAGCGCTTAGACGCCTCCCCCTGGGCCACCTTCCAGTCCTGCCCTCTGCTATACCTGTCCTTGGCCACTGAGGAGATCCAGAGAGGCATATGGAAAAAGATCAGGGACGTTCTGGTCTCTGGCTTGCTGGGCAGGTGACTGTATACGGGTCATGACCCCTTCCTGGTCAGCACCGGCAGGATCTGCTTGTAGGAGCCTTGGCCATCTTGGGAGAAAGGGTTGGGATGGGTGTGGAAGTGTTCGCATATCAGAGCAGGGCCCCCAAAAGGAAAAGGAGGTTGTGGTCACTGAGGAAGAGCCGACCATTTTATAGATGCCGCCCCTGAGGCCGAGAAGAAATGGAGGGCCAGGCTTCAAATGTGGATGTTCTGACTGCGCTATGTCCTGTCCCCTGCCCCTCAGCAGGGCAGATGAGGGTGCCAGACCCCTACCGTGAGCGTGGTTGACCTGGCATTGCCCAGGGCGCCCGCAGAGTGACACACGCACTGATTCCGCTTTCCTTGCCGCCCCCCTCCCCTTTGCTCACTGCCTCCTTCCTTCACAGTGGAAGAAGCATTGGTTTGTGCTGACCGATTCAAGCCTCAAGTACTACAGGGACTCCACTGCTGAGGAGGTGAGGCGAGGCGGGAGGGCTCCCTCCCCCATCAGGTGCTGGGGTCCCCTGGAAGGGCCTCGGGGGGATTTAGGTGGGGCCCCCGGAGTACATGGACCTTCGTGGCCTTCCTGCTGCAGGCAGATGAGCTGGATGGCGAGATCGACCTGCGCTGCTGCACGGATGTCACCGAGTATGCAGTGCAGCGCAACTATGGCTTCCAGATCCACGTGAGGCTGTGTGCGGGGGGTCGGGGGGAGGCTTACCTAGAGGGCCCCCTGGAGGAGGTGTTGGTGTGGAGCACAGCTGTCCATCCAGAGACTGGCTCCTGTCACTCCTTTACCCAGAGGCCCTGTCCTCAGAGCCAGTCAGAAGCTTTACTGCCAACACTTAGCATGTCTCGGAAGATCCTGGGTATCATTGGCAGGGGTGGCTCAAATGCTGGGGAGATCTTGGAGCCAGCAGTGCTCTTCCAAGGTAGTGGGGGGTGGTTTTGCACCCTCCGTTCACTTCCAGGCTCAAGACACCCTCTTGGGAGGGAAGGGCTGCCCTCCCTGGGGTCCATAGTCGGGGGTAGCGCTGGGGCTGTCCACATGGCAACAAATTTGTGTGGTGGACCTGCAGACCAAGGATGCTGTCTATACCTTGTCGGCCATGACTTCGGGCATTCGGAGGAACTGGATTGAGGCTCTGAGAAAGACTGTGCGTCCCACCTCAGCCCCAGATGTCACCAAGTACGTGCTGGGCTGAACTGGGGCCTTGGGGAGGCATTTACCCTGGGGTCTAGCACTCCTCTGGGGGCTCTCTGGCTGTACCTCCTGGGCCTCAGTTTCTCTATCAACAAAATGGGGAGAGTAGTGAGCATTCTTAGCAGTTCTCTAGAAATACATTAAGAATTTGGTGTTTTACTTCTGTCTGTCTGTGTGCCCCACATCCTGAAAGGGTGGGCACAGGGCTTGGCTCTTCAGTGAAGATGCGGATGAGTCAAAGGCCTCCGGTGGTGGCTGACTGTCTGTGCTGTGGGGGCTATGTCTCACCCTGTGTTAGGGAGAGGGGATGGCTAGGCAGTCTGGGGGTGGGGCTTACTCCCCCTGAGGTCACTGTGGGTAGAGTGGCGGGAAGGCTGAGTTACCTGATGGTAGAGCCCCCACACAGTATGAACTCCAGATGCCCAGGGGGGCTGGGATTTGTAGCTGTGGGCAGCAGG